TTCGACCTTAGCCGAGAGGAATATGTATGCGTACGATAACGACGGTCAACGGACATGGCGTTGGCTACCTAGGTAGGTAGATAGGTAGTCATCGCTAGATACCTAGCCATAGCCAGATACGAGGGTCTTGGCAATGCGAACATGCGCCGTACGGGTACGGATCGGTAATTACAGGCACTGTTGGAACAAATATGCTGATAAATGAATGGATGGCGATAGGACCTACCCAAATACTTACCTAGGTGTGAATGAGATCTTCCAACTTACGGTCGCCACCTAACAAGAATTGGAACCTGGACGCCTTACCTAAGACTTGAGAAAGGATGAGCGGTATCGAGCCAAGAGACTACCTAGGTACCTAGGTACCTACCTACCTACCTATGTACCTAGGTAGGTACGGATCCGTACGGATCCATACTTTCCAGCTGAGTCCCTGCTGAGACGGACAAAAACCTACGGATCCGTACCTGATGCTGAACTGAGAGCTTCGGGAGTGACGTAATTATTCTCTAATTTGCACGTAGCTTTCCGTCCTTTTTTGTGACGGCCGCTTTTGTGAAGCCGGACTTTTTCACGCTATTTTACTAGTGCTGTATAGTGCGAGGACATGATAATGCACTGTGTTAAGAATTAGCCAGGTGGCTCGTGCACTTAGCAACATGTTATGTTCGATGTTCGATAGGTACGTAAATACCTACTCGGATCACGTGAATAGTCACGTGCTCACCACTCTACCCAATCAGGCTAGATCCTGAAACTCCCGGGATCCCGGCTTAGCTTGAATCTCAATTTGCTATCGACCGACATTCGTGAGCTTCGCTCGTCACGCATCTCTTCAATTGACTACGCCTGTCATCATGAACACCTTCCGTGTTGCCTGCGCAGCTCTGCGAGCTCGTCCCGCTGCCATGCGGCTTCGCAGCCAGCCTCTGCTGCGTAGAGGCTATGCCTCTGCCGCTCCAGACAAGGCCCGTACCCCATAGCAACTCGATAGCTTCCCAACTAACAGTATGTAGATCAAGTTGAGCTTGTCTCTCCCTCACCAGGTACGATGCACACCAGGGATGCAACCGAGGTCTAATGTGTCGCGAATCTTGCGACCGCAGCCTGCACCTGTCTTCGTGGCCACCTAGCTTCCTACCGACCGACTAGCTAATTCCCGCAATAGTCCATCTACAACTCCCATGACGTTGTCCAGGTCAACATTCCCGCCGAGTCCGGAGATATGGGTGTCCTTGCGAACCACGTCCCTTCGATTGAACAATTAAAACCTGGTCTCATTGAGGTCATTGAGGAGAGTGGTTCCAGCAAGCAGTTTTTCCGTATGTGCATACAAAGAGAGTAAAGAGAGCACATGAGACAATTCACTAAAGTCTACGATTAGTCTCTGGCGGCTTCGCTACCGTTCAGCCGAACTCTGTCATGAGCATCAATGCTGTCGAGGGCTACCCTCTGGAGGACTTCAGCGTGGAAGCTGTCCGATCTCAGTTGGCCGAGGCGCAGAAGGTCGCCAACGGCAGTGGCAGTGAGCAGGATATCGCCGAGGCCAAGATTGAGGTGGAGGTAAGGCCTATGTACAGTATAATATGCAATGCCCATATCTTGCTAACAATATTAGGTCTTGGAGAGCTTGCAAACCGTTCTAAAATAGATTGGATAGAAGATGCTTATACGTCGACCTGTACATCAGAATAATTCCTACAATTCCGAACGGCAAATCGAGAAGGTTTTGAGCCGGCCTCTTGACGTCAATACGTGTGGTTACCCTTGGTTGTGAATGCGCCTGCTTGTCATGTCTATGGCAGTTTCCTCCCTGGCTACTGTCTATGATTGCTACCTAATTCATTGACCACCAACTCCAAATTACCCTTCTTCAAATTCCATGTTCTCAATTGTCGGCTGACCCGGCAGTTCACCTAGGTTCCCCATGCCATAGATATATTCTTATGCCGAATTCTTAGTTTTTGGGGAATGCGCTACTTTAAGGGCCTCATCATAACGCCTCAGGAAACGGTTCGTCATGTCTTCATGCCCACAAGGAGTCGTTCTTAATGACGTAAAGGGATCCAATGAGACCGGACATCCTAATTCTATGATACCTATCCCTCCTAGAACAGTCGCATCACGGCCGCACCCGTTTAATGACCCTAAGGGAGTCAACTTATCATCTGAAAAGCCTGACTTTACCGAACGCGAGTGTGCAGAGACATCCATCGGTTAGGCACATCCACCACACTCCAAGTTTGGGGAAATCTCAACACATTACCTTGATGCTCCCGACTTCCGGAATCCTCCTGCTGCCCATTCATTTGTCTTTCATAATTGTGGCCGAAATAAGAATGACCAGGATAATTTGTTTGCAGTTCGTCAACCCGGAACCCAACCGCCGCTCTTGCGACCATCTTGCGGAAAGAGTTTTTCTGTCGGCCACCTTTGCGACAAGTTTGGATTGATGGAAATCCTCTCATCTGATGGACAGCGCGTTTATGATAAAGTCAAAGAAACTCATTCCAATCCGCCTCATACTCAGTTGTCGTTAGCTGATCCTGGGGTGCAGACCCACAGGATTCCTATACTTTCCCATAAACAGCAGCAAGTCCTACCATTGAAATCATTCATCTCACATGATACACCGGAAATCGAGAAATGGCAGTCAGCTCGAGACATCTTCATGCAGTACGACATCAGCAGGCCCTCTGGCTGGCTTTCGGAAACGGATGACCTATCTCTATCGGGGGATGGAAATGCCAGTCCCAGAAGCTTTTATCGATACTGTCACATTTGTTCAACTCCTACTTGGGCCCCAACTCATTGCTCTTCCTGTGGGCACCGCTTTTGCGAAAAGTGCATGTTTGAGCCGTCCATTGATACACAGGCAAATGCTAACCTTTCGTACCATTCAAATATCACTACCGCAGGAGATGAATCACAGTATGCATCTGCCTTTCGGTCGATTGTTGGATCGATACCAAGCAGTCGTAAACGAGCACAAACACCTCATCCTGCTCCTCATGGCCCGAACCATTGCCGCATGAGCACACAACATCAGCCATCTCAACATTATGAGGAGCATAACTGGCAAAAAACTGATGACAAGTTTGGAGAGGAAACGACATCATCTGAGGTATCAGGTTCGACTATGAGATCTCTCTCACATAGGAATAGAGGCCAATCCGAAGGCAACTTGACACGACTGATCACGAAAACGCCGTTATTCAACGACAAAAAGGTAAACGAGCAGGGGGTGAGGCATGGTGTCTCCGCCAATCGTGTTGAGTGCGACGATTCTATATGCAGAGCAACCCACACTGGGCACTACCCTTTTCGACATGCTGCTTCCTGTTCCAGGCATGGAAGTGAGCAGAACAAGCAGGAGTTTGAGCACGGATTTACGTCAAACGTGCCTGCTAGGACTGAGGTAGCTGATAATCCAGACTCCGATTCGACCTACTATCTAAGTGATGGTCAGGTCTTGCATCGTCCGCGTTCTTCCGACTTTCTTGATAAAAGTGAGATTTCCGAGCATGTTTCTTCAGGAGTTGACCACCGTGCCTATAATGTGCTCGACGATCAACGAAGAAGAAGGATTAAATCCTGTATTGAGTCGCAGCACGAAGCTTCGCACCACTTCCCTATTTCTCATCACCGGGACCGTGTACGATCTCAAAAGATCCACAAAGGAAAAGGGTCATGGCATAGATCGCCTGAAGTACAAAAGTCCCAAGCGATTTCTGAACGCAGTCTCCGGGGCGCCCCCATTTCAGTATCGAAACGTCGCGAGCTGTTCGAATCCATTCAAGGTCATACAGATATAGCCTTGGCAAAGAATAAGATGAAGCATGACCATAATAGAAATACGATGCGCAAGGCGAGTTCTCGACAAGGCCGGAATCGGAGAGAGAGCTCTAGCGATCTGGGTGGCCCGTCGCAGTCGTTTATAGAGACATAGGAGCTTCAAGGCAGACACCGACGCTCAGACGCCCAGCCTCGCCGTGCAGAGAACAACGGTACCAAAGCAGAGTATGCTTCTGTTATTCGGCAAGACTCTGGTAAGACAATTAAATCCGCGACATCGAAACCCGACCTCAAAGTTGAGAATGGCAAGGCCAAGTCATTCCTCCATAATGTGTCTGATCTTGAATTAGTCGAGCCGAACCCCCTCGCTACTCCGGGTCACGAATGTTTGTGGAAAGAACGACACTTGGCGCTGACGACCGAGATCCGTCAGCTGAAGGCCGAGATGTCGGCCAGCGGTTCACGGAAAAGCGCGGATATCATCACGGCTGGGTCCGGCCAAGCCGGAGACGATCCTGATTTGAGGGGTGTCACCATTATCTTACACTTTGGGGACAGGGATGACGTTATCATCGATACGGACGTGGCCCCGGATAGTAAATCTGCTAGCCAGAGAAATGCTTATACTGATTGAGGGAGGGTTCGTTGAGGACTGCAGGTTGTTTACTGGTTTACACTGCGGATAAGGGATGGATGAGGTACTTTGACCTCAAGAATGATAAATAGCTGTTATTGTTCATTAATAGATTGATTGAGTTCTTTTTCTCAAACAGAAATACGGCCTTATCTTGCTTGTGCGGCTTGGAAGAGTCTGTGATTCGTTGTTTTCCGATGTCCCTGATGTGTTGATACATGGTTCCGTACCTACATTCATTCATTCATGCATGCATGCATGCGTACGCATAGGGAGCGAGCTCTAGATACTTTTGCCAGGATCGATTACGAGGTACCGAGTGTCGATGTTGACGGGCAAATCAACCATACTGTAATGTAATGTAACACTTCGCTACCTACCTGACTAATATATTATATATATATATATAATGCGCGCTGCCGAAGCCCAACAAGTTATGTATCTCAAACAACCACATCCAAAAAAAATAAAAATAATAATAAAAAAATAATAAAAATAATAATAAAAATAATAAATAGAAAAGAAAAATCTCCGAAAAAAAATAAAAAATTGACCCAAGGTCTCTTTCACACTCCGAATCGGGGAATCGAACCCCGGGCTTGACGGTACCTTTTCAAATTTCCATTGAACATGAGAGCGTCAAATGTTAGCCACTACACCAATTCGGATTTGTAGGTGAGAGAGAGAGAGAGTAAAGTAGTTTGCCCACTAGCGGAATCGAACCGCTGATCTTGTCATGGCATCTAGATTTGTCAGAAACAAACACACACACACCGTCGTAAACAAGTTGTGCTTCGTCTTTTCTTTACTAGTGACACGCTATACCACTTAGCCAAGCGGGCAATTTCGGGATGGAGCATCGCCGTTGTATTGTTGCTAATGGGCGGAGCGGGTTTTGGCACGGATTACGGATCCGTACTTAGGTATTTTTCTGATCTGCATGCAGTACCTACCTAAGTGCATAAGTACTTACATACTACGTACGTCCCCGTATGGAATACAATTCTGGCTTTGGGTTGAGATTGTGGTTTGCGGTTGTCGCTTGGGCTGGGAATGTTTTGGGGGGGGGGGGGACTTTTGTTGTTGCTTGGTTTTATCTTTGGGTGGTCCGATGCTGCGTTTTTCCTGGTACGCTTTTGGTTTGGCATTTTCCACGAGCATGATAAAATTCGAAGGAAATGGCCGTTCCATGTCCACACGCACGCATGTCCCGTTCGGATGAGACCAACCACTTTGTTCCGTGAGATACTCATTGTCGGGTCAGCCCTGGTTCGGGGCTTAAATAACTCTCATGTTTGATATCCTGCACGTAGGGTCGCAGACACACAATGTAATTAATCTGCGCTACGATGCCGCTGTCTTAGATACGACCGTTTCCCGCTAGTATAGGACAATCAATCATACGATACCTATACTAAGTAGATGGATATGGCTGCCATCTGAGACGCCGCCAGGACGGGAATGCGACGGTACCTATACTCATGCAAACCTCCTCCCCTCCATGGCCCCGACAGGCGCGGGAGCGGCTTTGAATACATATGTATGCCGACGATGCTAGCGATGGATCGTGGATACATATGCATGAGTGATTGCTGGCAATGTTGACCTGGACCGGACCCGATACATCATGCATGCTATGCAAGGGATCTGGCAGGATCAAAGGGGGGGCATCGAATCAACATTGCTCTCGTTATCGCAGATATCAACGGCGACATGCAAGGGCCAAGGCGCCCTTGAATGCTACGGAACCAAGAGGCCTTTCTCGGTGAATACGTATCATCCCTGAACCTAGGCGATAGAAGACTATGATCGACTCAGATCCGAACACTCGCCTCCAAAGAGCCCGCATTACGGGGAATGTAACAGGTCAACGGGTCGGGGAGGCTAGATGAAAAATTACTCCCTTATTGACGATTACCTACTCGCTTAAAAGGACTTATCTTGAGGGCGGACAGGTCAATGAGTCCGTAGAGGGATATTCAAGGAGTTTCCAGGCCATCTGCCGAAAAGTAGGTGCGAAGTCCCCGGATATCTCGACGACCTTTGTGGCCTATCCGTCGTCAAGATAAGCCCTTTGGAAGAGGGTACTCTGATGAAAAGGAAGCACACCAAGACCATCTTTGTCATTCTTCTCTTCTTCCCCAATGCCCACGACGCCTCAAGCACTTGTTTTAAACCCGTCTGTCCATCCATCCAAAGACACAAGGCAGTCAAGGCTAGGAGATATATGGCCCTCTTCATCGATGATAGGGAGAGCTGACAGTGTCCTCTTGATATATACATTACTAGTGCCATTGTGTACTATTTCGTACATAAGAATGAAAGAAAACAACTTAAAACAGGGACGATAGATGTGAAAATACCTACTATCCAACCGCAAAGCTGTGAGCGAGGAACGAGGATTCATACATATACTACGGATTAATAGTGAGGAGGTATTTATAGCTGCCGCCTAGCTCCACTTTTCCCGCCGGCCCTCCCCTCACTGCCACTATTTCCTCCAACCTGGCAAGTATCTGCCGTAAGTCACCAGCTGAACGGATCCAATAAAAACCCTTCTGGTTGCTTTTTGTAGTGATGGATCATCATATTCAACATTGCAGGTATTCACACACAGGTAGTAGATCCATTCATCCATCACAAATTGACACGTTTTCCCCGGCCATCATTCTTATAACACAAACTATGTAACTAAGAAGATTATATAATCGGATAACCAGCCGACCGAGGAATTGTAAGTAAGTAACTTGTAATAATCCGTAATTAGTGGGACTTTGTACAACGCCACCTTCCCAACCACCTGGGTCGAGTCGCGCCTTCTTCCTCTTCTTATTCTTCTTTCTCCGTTCTGCAACGAGCTCTTATCGATCAAGTCAGTTCGGTCAGGAGACAGTCGAACACAAACCTGGTTCATCATGGTGAGTAATACCAAATATCAATTTGTCTTCATCCCAAAATCCTTCTCGACATCTTCACATACCCTTTCTTTATCTGAGGCGGGGGCGGGGGCGGGGCTGTACACTGCCTACCTTTTTGTACAATGAGATGGAGCGTATGAAACACAGCAGAGCGGCGCAAGCAGTACAAGGATTCGCTAACATGGAAAATCACAGGCGTTCGACGTGAAATATGTCCTGGTGCCAGTTTTCATAGCCGCCGCGGTGTTCGGCCTCAAGACCACCGTTCTTGGCATGGTGAGCAACGGGATGGGCAAGCTACTAAAGGGCATCAGCGTGGGTAGCATTGATGCGGTGAAAGGCGCACCACTCCCCTTCTTGAGATCGTACACCGGCTTCCCTGACTTCGACAGCCGCCTGTGCTCCATTGTGGCCTTTTTCTCCGCTCTTATAGATGGCGACGTATCCTGGGATATATTCGTCTTCTATGTCTGGGGCATGGCTCAATTCGCGGCTGGCTGGACCCTCTTGGTCCTCGAGTCCAAGCGCGCCGGTAACCGCGGTCGATTGATCTCCTGGATCGGGACCGCGGGAATCCTATTCCAGGGCATGACTTTCACGTTCGTCGTCCCGCTTTACTTGTCCCTACACCTCCTTACCTCCCCCGTCGCGAAACTCAAGAACGGTGACGGTGATGGCGCCCGCCGCGCCCTCTTCGTATATCTCTGGGATCTAGCCCTATTGCCTATGGCCGTTACCCTGGCGTTCATCGTGCCCACCGTCTTCATGAGCTTGCCAAATCTGCTCAACCAGTCCGCTGCCACGCACTATGCCTGGATCGCCCTCTGGCAACCATTCCCAATGATCACGATCCTCGCTCTCGGCTTTCTCCATTATGCGTGCTACTACGCGCTGGGCAGCCTCAGCCCCGTCAACGAGAATAACGAGCCCACGACGCATGGCCACGGCTACATGGTGGCCGTGCGCGGCGTGTACGAGTTCGCGCTCGCGCTCTGTGGATCGACTCACCTGCCCGTGGTGGCCCTGACGCTCATGCCCCAGGCCGGCCGTGAGTTCCTGAGCCATGCGTTCCCGTCCTACGCACACGTCTTCCAGAGCCTCTCGTTCTCGAAGGCCTTCATCCCATACCCCTGGTACGCGTCACCGACCATCGACGCCGACTCTTACCGCTCCGGCGAGCCCGCCGTCCTCGCCCAGCACTTCCTGCAATACGATTTCTTCGTCGGCGCGGGCGTCCTGCTGCTCTGGTCCATGTACGTGCACCAGCGGGCCGTGAAGAACCCGAGCCTAGGCAAGATGCTAGGCAAGACGGCCTTCTGGTTCCTCATCGCGGGCCCCGCGGCCGCGGCCGCGATCTTGAACTGGGACCGCGACGCCGTCACCGAGGAGGGCGAGGAGGAGCTTAGGAAGAAGATTGAGCAGGAGTTGGAGAAGAGGAAGGGTTTGGAGAGCAGGAAGACGAAATAGACGGACGATTGGATTGGATTGGATTGGATTGATGGGGAGCGATGGAGTGATGTATTGGATGGATCAGATTTACCTAGATTAAGCCGGCGAATGGCGTCTTTCTGGAAATTGTGCTGTGGGTGGTAGTGGTGGTTGGATCAGCCAAGTTAGATTGGGTATATATATATATGTGTGTGTGTGTGTGTGTGTGTGTGTGTGTGTGTGTCTGGATGTGCAAATGTGCGTACCTAGAAAGCACTGCTGAAAATACTATTTATTGTACGACGACTAGGTACGCTATATATATATATATATGTGTGTGTATGTGTGTATGTGCGTGATAGAATCCCAAGACTACAAGATCCCCACCATCCCCGCCCAGCATCCGATCCCTCCCGTGATAGATAGACAGCGGCAATCCGACAGCGACATAAATCCCCACCAAACAAGATGGACAGATGGGATATATCCGCAGACAAGCGAAGCGAAGCAGCCTATTGTTCCAAGATCGAGCGCGGTCACAGACAGACAGACAGACAGACACCACGCATCCGAGAGGTTTGTAAGCGTCGTGTCCACACACACACACACACACACACACACACACACACATCTCAGTGAACGCTGACCACATCCGTTTCCTGTCGCAGTAGCGTGACGCCTCCTTCCCGCCGCGTCCGCGAAGACCTGGTTAGCAAACACGAGGGCATTCTCCTTTCTCTAAATCACCAAGAGTCGCCAGCCGACAACGACATCTGGGACATTTCATGGACGGGCACGAGCACGGAGACCCGCGGCAGCCTACGCATACATATCCAATAGATATCCGAAGATCTCGTGATGTCCATTTATTTATTCCTGTGTCTCGGCAGTGGTATCAGCAGACGCATTGTCCTGTTCCAACTTCTTCCTCTCCTTCTTCGACAACCTAATACTGCCCTTCGCGAGCGCCTCCTTGGGCAGGGGCCGAATAATAGGCTGGACGACCCACCAAGGCCGCCAACAAGTCTTGACGGTCGCCACCGAGCTCTCCGGATCGTCGTCCGGCGTAACGTCGTTCTCTTTGCCGTCTTCCCCCTCCGATGGCGCCGCTGGTTTAGGAGCCGGCTCCTCTTCTACGCTCTTTCCGTCCGTCTTCTCGTAGTCTATTAACCCCTGCGCGACCCGTCTTTCAACCATGTCCAGGACCTTTTCAACGCCGGCGATGTCGCTAGGCAGCGTCCTCGCCAAAACATCGCGGATATCGGTGTGTCTGGACACGAAGTGGCGCAGTAGGTGGAATAAATGGGGGCGAATGCCGACAATATTCGGCGAGGACGATGTCTTCCCCGAGCCATCTTTATCTTGTTTTACCTTTTTCCGTGGCGGCCCGTCCTCATGGTCGCCATTCTGCGCGCCCGTGTCCTGAAGCCAGGCCTCGTCATCTCCTACCACGAACAGCGGCCTCCGCTTCGGTGGCTCTTGCTCAAGCACGTATT